AAATCATAAGTCCTATACCACAGTTTTAAGTCATAATTATGACGAAGATTTTGTAGTATGTAGAAAAATGTATGTGTGTTTGATTATGTAGCTATGTAATAAATATGACTTCGTAATAGAATTAAGAAGTACTGAAATCGTTTTAGGCTGAAAGTAATAAACTCTTTTTTTCTTTAACCCAAGAATAAATATGTTCTTTCTAATTCCCTACTCATCTACTACATTTGTTGAATTTGTCAAATATCACTGTCTTATAGAACAAAATTATATTCTGTGAGGACATCACATACATAGTAAATGACAAAGACAGAAAAATAGTTTATATTGGGTTCTTTGGTTTATATCTGAATATTAAAAGTTATAACAGGAAGTAATACCACATTCAACAGAATTTTCTCTAGGTAAGATTATCAAAAACTTTAGTATCCAGGTTAAATAATTGGGGTGTATGTGTGTTTTAACTTTTTCAAATCAAACCAAACGTACAATTATTTAGATTACTATTCCCGTAACTAAAAGTTAAATCAAGGAAACATCATTCAATTGTACTATAGATATGGAAGGAAGAAGAAATATTTATGTAAAATATATATACAAACAAATTATAGGACATGTAAAAATTTGTCTTACTCAAAAATCTTTTTATTTTTGAGGTTTTTTTCTCAAATTCAAATTTTCATGAAAAGCATATTTTGCATTTTCTGCTCAGTTTTCTTTTTTCTATCTCCTTTTTAAAGAAAACTTTACTTCCTTCGTATTATGAGGGTTGATGGCTTTTTCCTCAAGAAGGGTAAAGTTTTAAAGATGATTGTTATGTATCTTAAACATAGAGTACAGGTTTTACATATAGTTTTTAAAAAATTATCTCTAGTTGAAGCTGCTTTACAATATTAAGGAAATTAAAGATATTTCTTTCTTACTCCTATTCAAACGTAATTGTTTTTAGTTCACCACTTGGAATCTTCACCCAGTGAGTATATAATTTTAAACTGTTGTAATTATAATACATATATAATTTGGCCGGGCTCATCCCTGTAATCCCAGATCTTTGGGAGGCCAAGATATGTGGATTGCTTGAGCCTAGGAGTTCAAGACCAGCCTGAGCAACCTGGCGAAACTCCATCTCTATAAAAAACACAAAAATTAGTCAAGTGGTTGAGTGCAGTGGCTCACACCGGTAATCCAAGCACTTTGGGAGGCCGAGGTGGGCAAATCACCTGAGGTTGGGAGTTCGAGACCAGCCTGACCAACATGGAAAAACCCCATCTCTACTAAAAATACAAAATTAGCTGGGCATGGTGGCACATGCCTGTAGTCCCAGCTACTCAGGAGGCTGAGGCAGGAGAATTGCTTGAACCCAGGAGGCAGAGATTGCAGTGAGCAGAGATTGTGCCACTGCACTCCAGCCTGGGGAACAGAGCAAGACTCTGTCTCAAAAATATATAGATGGATAGATAGATAGATAGATATAGATACATAATTTCTTTTGGTTATTTTATAAATCCTTTTCTATATTGTCATATAATAGTCATTTATTATCTTGAATATCTGTATAATATTTCTTGGGTTTACTATGATTTTTTTCATTCTCCTGCCACTGAACTTGTTTCCAGTTTTTTGCTATTAATATTACACTTAGTGTTACAATGAATATCTTCATACAAATATTTTTCTGGGCCGGGCATGGTGGCTCAAGCCTGTAATCCCAGCACTTTGGGAGGCCGAGGCGGGTGGATCACGAGGTCAAGAGATCAAGACCATCCTGGTCAACATGGTGAAACCCCGCCATTACTAAAAGTACAAAAAAATTAGCTGGGTATGGTGGCACGTGCCTGTAATCCCAGCTACTCAGGAGGCTGAGGCAGGAGAGTTGCCTGAAACCTGGAGGCAGAGGTTGCGGTGAGCCGAGATCACGCCATTGCACTCCAGTCTGGGTAATAAGAGCGAAACTCCATCTCAAAAAAAAAAAAAAAAAAATTCTGTACAGAATTTCTTAGTTATGTCATTTCAGTAAGTTCCCAGAAGTACAATTTATTGGCCAAACTTTTATAAACCATTTTTCCTCTTTGGTTTTTGTTGTTAAATACTTGATTATTTTCAGTTTGTTTATTAGTTACTTGTTTCTATGCTTAAATTCTATTGTAGTTGTATTTATTGGTAATAAAAAGTTGTATGATTCTTACTGCCAGCTGTTGAGTTTTGGGATACATGAATCCAGTTCTTCCAAAGTAAAGAACTGTCATAAAGCAGCAGGGCTAGAGGAAGTTGCCATAAATACAGTAGGAACATTTTATAGGTTTCTGTGGGGATTCTGTAACTGTACAGTAAAAAAAAATCTGTTCTGCAGGAACTTCGGGTATAATATTCCCCTCACTTAGCAGGTAAGAAAAGGAAGCAACATAAAGAACAGTGTAAGGAAGTTACTATTAAGAAATAAGTAAATCTATTAAATACTTAAGAAGTAGCAAGTTAAACTAAAAGCTTAAATGCTTAAAGCTGAAGACCACTTGTACTCTCATTGTCTCACAGCTTGATTCTTCCCAGAAAATAGATTATTCTATTTTCTTTCCTATATGTGGTAGAAATTTGTAGCTAAGAAATTCATCCCTAGCCTTAAAAATACGATTTTTTTCAATAAATAACTTGTTGCCTTTAATGTCACAACTGTCATGTAATTGTATTCAATATATTATATTTATATATACAGAATGTATAGTTGCCAGCCCTAATTTATATGTGATTATTCACATATGGTAAAATAAGTCAAAACAAAAACTATTCTAATCTCACTTAGGAAAGCAAGAGACAGAGCTGTTTAATGATTATTTGGCTTTTACATAATTGGGATTTATTTAAATAGTGGTGGTTAAACTTTTATCTATGAAACTCTGAAAACATTCTCATTCACTTTTCCTGGATACTGCAGTATACTGTTTGTTGTTGTTGTTGTTGTTGTTGTTGTTGTTTTAAGAAAACAGCTTCTCACCTTCAGTGGTGTATTTATAGCCAGATCACTGGAATATACCCTCTTATATCTGATTGTATAAGCATTACTTAAACTAGTAGGAAGCTTATCATCATTCCACCCAATGCAACTCCATATTCTGTTATCATTTCCCACACTTTCCTAGATACTCAGTTTTAAGACCTTGGAATCATTCATGACTCTTACACTGTTTCTCCTCCAGTATCTATTTAATCTCTAGGTCTTAATTACAGTGTTTTCAGTGTCTCCCTCTCCACCCTTCCTTCCTGTTCTCCACTGACACCACTTTAGTCCTGGGACTCATTACTCCTAGACCATTCCAACAGTCTAATTGGTCACCTTTCCTCCAGTCCCTCTCCACTTCATTGTGTCTCGCACACTACTTAAATACTTAACTGTTCAGCCCCACATTTAAGATCCTCTGAAATCTGACCTTACCCAGCTCCCAACTTCATTTCAGTAGTGCAAGAGAACCAGTCAAAATGGAGCTTTTTAACTGTTCCCTGTATGTACTGTCTGTATTGTCAGCTACTGAGTGACATGAATTTTCCCCACCACTTTCCCTCCTAACCTGAGCCCAAACCTCTTATGCCTTCCTGTTTGCCCCAGCTAGCATTAATTGGCTACACTCCCCTTCATCAGGTGCTAGCCATGCACGCTCCACTGTATTATCATTTACTTATTGTTTACTTGCCTGCATTAGGAGAATATGAACCCAAGATGGGCAAATGTTACATTTTAAATCTCTCTGTATCCCCCACTGCCATGGTAGAAAATAGTAGACTAATAGTTGAGAAGATGGACTTTAAAGTAACACAAACAGATGAATTCTGATTCTGCCACTTCCTAGCTATATGCCTTGAATAAGTTATTAAATTTCTGTTAGCCACTGTGCAAAGTGAGCATGATTATAACCCTATCAAAGGGTTTTTGAAAGAATTAAATAAAACAGATATATGTAATATGCTTATCACAATACCTGATATGTAATAAATAAATGATGGTAATTATTATTGTAATTATGATCATGCTAACTGCTCAGTGTTTGTCAGTCACAACATGATGCACTTCCAATAATTGTATAATTTATCCCTTTTCACCAGTTAGGTGACCACATATAATATAATAGTATTAGGGGTTTTTCTTTTACACTATATGCAACTTGAATATGGAGTGTGTAATTTTTTATTGTTTAGCAATAAAAATTTACTCCTGGTTTATTCCCAGAAATTGCTTTACTTACTTATAGTCTAACCTATTGCAAAAAGAAAATGCAAACTTCATGAAAACAAAACTTAAAAATAACTACCTTTCTTCTATACAGTTGTTACGTCTATTCCAAGAAAGACAATTTTTGCAGCAGAAAATAATATCTTCTCATACAGGGAGAGTAGACTCTGAAACTAAAAATACTTATAGAAACTTCCAGAACTTTGAAAAGTGACCTTTTCAAATGCTATATCAGGTACTGTATCACTTAAATGTAAATGAGTCCTTTTACAGAAATTAAAGTAGCTAATAAGAAAAACAAATCTAAAGTTACTTTAAAAATTGCAGGCTAACAAAACATTTTAAAACTTTCATCTCTTTGACAGCAAAGTGTTAGAATACAAGTGTTGTAAGAGGAGCATTTAAAACCTACTGAAGAATGTTTTGTTCATATATTAACAAAAAGGCAAATAAATTTAGCCTTAGAGTAAAAAACAGCAAACCATACCAGCACCCAAATAGTCATACACCAGGGTGTTCTGAGGACATTACTTTAGCAGCCATTTCCCAGAGGTAGCTGGGGCTTGCAGCACAACTAGATTTAAACAGAAGAATCGTAGGAGTTCCATGGTTGTACCAGCGCCATCAGTAGGAACATCTGATACAAAATGTATTCATTCCGTGTGGAATTAGTCAGTATAATTTGTGTTCAGCTAATCTAGAATGAAAGATTTGGTTCCTTGTCACCTTTTTCTGCCTTTTTCAATGATAAAGCATATTTTACAATCTTTTTATTTTTTAATAGGGATCATATGCAGTGGTCTAACGAAGAAGAAGCAGCAGCCAGAAAAAAAGTAAAGGAAAATTCAGCTGTGCGAGTCCTTCTGGAAGAGCAAGGTAGCCAACTGTGTGCTGTAGCTCCTGCTTGAGTCACTTTTCTTCCTTCTCGTGTCATTGCTTCTGAGAGTTCTTAGCCTCTCCTGATGCCAGTCCACTCGTTCCATTTGGTAGAATTCCCAGTTCTTCGAGTGTAGTGGGACCAAAGTTAATGAAATTTGTATTCACCCTATAATTGGGTCTTTCAGTAGTCATATTATTGCTTTTTCTGGGAGATATACACATGGGTGGCATTTCAAACAAAATATGAAAACATAATTTTAAACTTTTCCACTTGCTGTGCTACTTTTACTATGCCATTATGCATTTTACTTGCTGGGAACTTCGAACAAATTTATAAACTTTGAGCAAAGAAGACAAAGTCATATCAAAATGATGCTGAAGTTTTAGGATAAATATAAAGTTTCAGTAAGGATTGAAGGCAGTTTTCTTGAAGGCCTTTATATTTAAGTTAAATTTAGGTAAGGCCATGCCAACCTTCATAAATGGCTTTTTAAAAATTGGCCTGTGCTACCATCAAAAAAAACCTAGGGGCTGGGAGCCATGGTTCATGCCTGTAATCCCAGCACTTTGGGAGGCAGAGGTAGACAGATCATGAGTTCAAGAGATCCAGACCATGTTGGCCAACATGGTGAAACCCTGTCTCTACTAAAAATAGAAAAATTAGCTGGGCATGGTAGTGCACACCTGTAGTCCCAGCTACTCAGGAGGCTGAGACAGGAAAATGACTTGATCCCAGGTGGCAGAGGTTGCAGTGAGCTGAGATCACGCCACTGCGCTTCATGCTGGCGACAGAGTGAGACTCTGTCTCAAAAAAAACCAACCTGGAAATGTTGATTCCATGTTATGGCCGTCATGAATAGAGCTGCAGCAGACATGAAAGTGCAGTTATCTCTTTGATATATACCTGTTAGTCATCTGTACATCTTCTTTTGAGAAATATCTATTCAGATGTTTTGGCTTTCTTTTTTTTTTTTTTTTTTCTGAGTCAAGGGTCTTGTTGCCCAATCTGGAGTGCAGTGGTGAGAACATGGCTCACTACAGCTTTAATCTCCCTGGGTTCAGTGATCCTCCTGCCTTAGCCCAGGGTGGTATCAAAATCCTTGGCCTCCTAGAGTGCTGGGATTATAGAAGTGAGCCACTGCCCCAACCTTGCCCATTTTTTAATCTTGATTTTTTTTTTCCTATTGAGTTATTTGAGCTCCTTAATATATTCCGGTTATTAATCCCTTGTTAAATGGGTAGTTTGCAAATATTTTCTTACATTCTGTGGGTTGTCTCTTCACTTTGTTGATTGTTTCATTGCTATACAGGAGCTTGTTAGCTTGATATAATCCCATATTCTGTTTTTGCTTTGGTTGCCTGTGCTTTTGAAATCTTTAGACAAATAACAAACTAGACAAATAAAAGTACTCCAGTGTCCTGGAGCATTTCCCTCAATGTTTTCTTCTAGTAGTTTCATAATTTCAGGTCTTAGATTTAAGTCTTTAGTCCATTTTGATTTGATTTTTGTATATAGTAAATAAGAGTCTAATTTTATTCTTTTGCAAATAGTTTTCCAGTTTTTCCAGCACCATGCTGATTTGGTTACCATAGCTTTGTAATATGTTTTGCAGTCAGGTAGTATGATGCCTCCAGCTTTTTTTTTTTTTTTTTTCTGAGATGGAGTTTTGTTCTATTGCCCAGACTGGAGTGCAGTGGCATGATCTTGGCTTACTGCAGCCTCTGCCTCCCAGGTTCAAGCAATTCTCCTGGCTTAGCCTCTTGAGTAGCTGGGATTACAGGTGCCCACCATCACATCCAACTAATTTTTGTGTTTTTAGTAGAGACAGTTTTGCCATGTTGGCCATGCTGGTCTTGAACTCCTCACTTAAAGTGATCTGCCCACCTCTGCCTGCCAACGTGCTAGGATTACAAGTGTGAGCCACCGTACCTGGCTTCAGCTTTGTTCATTTTGCTCAGGATTGCTTTGGCTATTCTGGATCTTTTGTGGTTCTGTAAAAATTTTAGGGGCCAGGTACAGTGGCTAACACTTGTAATCCCAGCATTTTGGGAAGTTTAGATTGAAGGATTGCTTGAGCCCAGAAGTTCAAGACCAGCCTGGGCAATATGGCTAAAACCTGTCTCTACAAAAAATATAAAAATTAGCCAGGCACTGTGTCTCACGCCTGTAATCTCAGAACTTTGGGAGGCCAAGGCAGGTAAATCACCTGAGGTCAGAAGTATGAGACCAGCCTGGCCAACATGGTGAAACCCAGTCTCTACTAATATATATATATATATATATATATATATATATATATATATATATATTTTAGTATATATATATATAATGATCTTTTATATATATATATAAATTAGCCAGGCCTGGTGGCATGTGCTTGTAATGCCAGCTGCTGGAGAGGCTGAAGCTGGAGAATCACTTAAACCTGGAAGACGGAGGTTGCAGTGAGCCAAGATTGCACCACTACACTCCAGCCCAGGCAACAGAGTGAGACAGTGTCTCAAATATATATATATATACAAAAATTAATCAACTATTGTGGTCCTACACCTGAAGTCCCAGCTACTCAGGGGGCTGCAGCTGGCATGTTGTTTAAGCCCACGAGTTTGAGGCTGCAGTAAGCTGTCATTGTGCCATGCTCCAGACCGGGTGACAGAGTGAGAACTTGTCTCAAAAAAAAAGAAAAAGAAAAAAAAAATTTCAGGATTTTGTTTTCTATATCTGTGAAGAATGTCATTAGTATTTTTTTTTTTGTCATAAGTATTTTGATTGGGATTGCATTGAATCTGTAAATTGCTTTGTGTAGAATTGTCATTTTAACAATATTAATTATTGGGACCTATCAGCACTGAATATCTTCCCATTTTTTGATGTCCTCTTTAATTTCTTTTTTTCTTTTTTTTTTTTTTTTTTTTTTGAGATGGAGTTTCGCTCTTGTTACCCAGGCTGGAGTGCAATGGCGCAATCTCGGCTCACCGCAACCTCCGCCTCCTGGGTTCAGGCAATTCTCCTGCCTCAGCCTCCTGAGTAGCTGGGATTACAGGCATGCGCCACCATGCCCAGCTAATTTTTTGTATTTTTAGTAGAGACGGGGTTTCACCATGTTGGCCAGGATGGTCTCGATCTCTTGACCTCGTGATCCACCCGCCTCGGCCTCCCAAAGTGCTGGGATTACAGGCTTGAGCCACCACGCCCAGCCTAATTTCTTTTATGAGTTTTTTATAGTTTTCCTTGTATAGGTATTTCACTTCTCTGATTAAATTGATTTCTAGGTATGTTATATTCTTTGTAGCTATTGTAAATGGAATTGCTTTATTGATTTCTTTTTCAGATTGTCCACTGTTGGCATATTTAAATGCTACTGATTTTTGTGTGTTGATTTTGTATCCTACAATTTTACTAAATTTATCACTTCTAACAGTCTTTTGGTAGAGTCTTTAGGTTTTTCTAAGTATAGGATCATATTGTTGCCCAGGTGCAATAGCTCATGCCTGTAATCCCAGCACTTTGGGGGGTCTAAGTGGGCACATCTTGAGGCCAGGAGTTCGAGACCAGTCTGGCCAACATGGTGAAACCCTGTCTCTACAAAAAATACAAAATTTAGCTGGGCGTGGGGTATATGTCTGTAGTCCCAGCTACTCAGGAGGCTGAGGTGGGAGAATCACTTGAACCCAGGATGCAGAGGTTGCAGTGAGCCAAGATCACTTTCCTACCATTGCACTGTAGCCTGGTGACAGAGTGAGACCCTGTCTCAAAAAAAAAAAAAAAAAAAAATCATATTGTTTGTGAACAAGGCTAATTTGACTTCTTCATTTTCCAATTTGGCTGTCTTTTTTTTTTTTTTTTTTTTTTTTCGAGATGGAGTTTCGCTCTTGTTACCCAGGCTGGAGTGCAATGGCACGATCTCGGCTCACCGCAACCTCTGCCTCCTGGGTTCAGGCAATTCTCCTGCCTCAGCCTCCTGAGTAGCTGGGATTACAGGCACGTGCCACCATGCCCAGCTAATTTTTTGCATTTTTAGTAGAGATGGGGTTTCACCATGTTGACCAGGATGGTCTCGATCTCTCGACCTCGTGATCCACCCGCCTCGGCCTCCCAAAGTGCTGGGATTACAAGCTTGAGCCACTGCGCCCGGCCTTTGGCTGTCTTTTATTTCTTTTGCTTGCCTAATTTCTCTGGCAAGGACTTCCAGTATTATGTTGAATTAAAGTGGAAAAAGTGGGCATCCTTGTCTGTTCCAGATAGATAATGGATAAAGAAGATGTGGCATATATACACAATGGAATATTATTCAGCCATTAAAAAGAGAGTGAAATCAGGCCGGGCGCAGTGGCTCAAGCCTGTAATCCCAGCACTTTGGGAGGCCAAGGCGGGTGGATCACGAGGTCGAGAAATCGAGACCATCCTAGTCAACATGGTGAAACCCTGTCTCTACTAAAAATACAAAAAACTAGCTGGGCGTGGTGGCGCGTGCCGGCGCGTGCCTGTAATCCCAGTTACTCAGGAGGCTGAGGCAGGAGAATTGCCTGAGACCAGGAGGCGGAGGTTGCGGTGAGCCGAGATCGTGCCATTGCACTCCAGCCTGGGTAACAAGAGCGAAACTCCATCTCAAAAAAAAAAAAAAGAGAGTGAAATCTTATTATTTGCAGCAACATGAACTGGAGGTCCTTATGTTAAGTGAAATAAGCCAAGCACAGAAAGACAAATATTGCATGTTTTCATCTATATGTAGGAGTTAAAACAGTGGATGTTATGAAAATAGAGAATGGATTGTTAATTACCAGAGGCCAGGAAGGGGTAGGGGGTGAAGAGAGATTGATTAATGGGTACAAATACACAGTTAGATAGAAGGAATAAGACCTCGTGTTCAATAGATCAGTAGGGTGACTAATTCACAATAATCTACTAAACATTTCAGAATAGCTAGAAGAGGCCAGATGAGGTGGCTCCACACCTGTAATTTCAGTACTTTGGGAGGCTGAGATTGGTGGATCAC